AAAAAAAAAAAAAATACCAAAAAGAAAACAGAAAACAAACCATTACTAAACGACTAATTTAATCATGATTGATTGCTCGCTGACCAAGCGAAATCTAGATGCAACATAGAAGCAAATGCGCTCTCTAATTTGTATCTGTTTCAGCTGCAGTGCACTCAATGCATCTATCTGTGAAAAGCAATTTGAAAATACCACATTTATGTGATAGTCTAATGTCGATTTGATCTATTGTCGTTTTACAGGGCGCTGGCTGTACGGCTCTACTTGTCGCTGTTGTCTCACGCAAGCTGGAGCTGACCCGTGCCGAGAAGCATGTGCACAACTTTATGATGGACACGCAGTTAACAAAAAGGGTATAGATCGTCTCCATGAATAGTAATCATTTTTGTTTGTTTGTAAATACCAAAAAAAAAAAAAAAAAAAAAAAGCCCCGAAAATACCGAAAAATAGTGGAAATCCAAGTAACTCTACAGCGTACCATACCATACACAGACGTAACTCAGTCAAACTTACACACATACATATAGCTATACATATACATATAGAGTACCGTTACTTGTAGTAGACATCAACCTCAACAAACAGAGGAAAATACCTATAGCAAATACCGAAATCAGCACAACTAATTCTGAGCAGAAACAATACCTTGCAATCTTAGTAAGAAAAATACCAAAAAATACTGAAAATACCGCAAGTTTCCGCAAGAGCTACTCAATCAAATGTACAGAGTGAACTGAGGCGACTACTGAAAAATATAAAAATACCAAAAAATACCAAACTTAAATCAACTACTTAAAAGTACAAAAACGCGAAAAATAATAAATTCAGCTCAATTAACTCTAGAAATCATCAAAATACTAACAATTATAGCATTTAACTAAAAATTTTAATTTAAAAAAACAAATGTAGTCAGTCAGTCTACGGCACAGCCTCGAGCAGACCTGACTATTCAACAAAAAAAAAAAAAAAAAAAAACTATTAAAAGTAAACATTCAACGGACTCTATAGGTACCGTTGCGGACAGACTTTACCTCAATGACTTTAGTCGATGACCAAAACTGAAATTACTTTGACATTTGACCCAACATCGACCGTAAGACATTGACATACTGAAGGAGTTTCGATAGATCGTTTGGTTTTACTAAGTACTCGTAGAATAGAGGAACACAACTACCCCACAACTCTAATAATTTCTAATAATTCATTTCTTCTCATAAATATATAGCTGAAAAATGCTGCGGCGAATGTTCTACGTGAAACTTGGCTCATTTACAAACATACAAGACTAGTAAAACGGGTTAATCCCGGCCGTGTAAGAACCCACCAAAGAAAGTTCCTTCTAGCTATATATGCGTGAGTATTTTTAGAGATCTATCAACAATATCAACAACTAACTGTCAGAAACCACCAACAAATATCAATCAATATAACAAGAACTTTTAACTGAGTTAATCAAACAACAACAACAACAATAACTGAATCCTCTATCAAATGAAAGGACTCAAAGCAATAACATATATCCTATGTATATATTTATATATATATCTATATACGTATTTGTATGTACATATATATATATGTATATATAGTTAATAGATCTGTTGTACAATGCAACCATATAGCCTGAACGAAATCCCAATCAAAGCTCCGTTACGAAAAGCTCAATAAAGTGCGACTAACCCCAATCATAATATCACGATTTTCAAACAATTTTTGGTTATGTTCTTGTCCTGTGTCCAACTGTCCATACATGTGCGTATTTATATACCTAACTAACTGTATGTGTGTGTGTGTATGTATGTATGTATGTATGTGGGCCAGCTATTGTCATAGCCTATGGCCTCTAACATCGTTAGCTGCAATTGTTAGCGATTATCGATCGCTTTTGTCGATAGGTGATATGGATAGCTATTCTCAGAAAGTGTTATTGTGTTATAGTGCTGTTCCCAGAGACAACTATACATAGCTATTCTCAATATTTAATCAATAGCGACTGTCAGTATCTTAACTGATCATTTTGATCAATAAGTGTTATCGATAACTGCGTTCGGGGAACTGTTACAATCGATAATTATTATTGGTATATTTTTATTATCGTTAATTTGCATCGACTGTTATCGACAACTATAAACGATATATTTTATCGATAACAATAGCTGTTATCGAACTTAAAGCAAACATTGCTTTAGCACATTTTTAAACGAAAGCTTTTCTTAGCCAATATCTCAATTGTTAAAGCAAAAAATAAATTGTCATTAGGGCTCTCATAAAAACTTGGATAGTTGATCTATTGAAGGATGTGGAAGGAGATACGAATGAGTTTTATTTTGTAATGAAAATTCCATATACTTACTAATTGTCACATTTCAATTGGCATGTCCCAGAAAAGTATGCTATACAAATTTCAACTCTCGAATCCATTCTTTCTCTTAGCTATCGCGTATATTCCCCACCTAAACTATATCCAAGCTTTCTACTTGTTCTGTTCTTTCATTTATTTTTTTGCCTAGTAATCCCAAAGAACTGTAATGTGAATGTGAGGAGTCTGCTTCTATATACATAATAATTGTTATATACTCTCCCAAATGTACATAGAATTACAGAACTAATACTATCATGAACAGCAATCAATGAGTGCAATAACCAACTAAAACGAAAATCGATTAATGAAAAAATAAAATTAAAAAAAAAAGAAAGAGAAAATCTACATAATTAAATGATTGAACTCGTTTTACTAGCCTGTAAATAGGTTGTAAAGCCCTGTTTTTACGTTATGATAATACCGAAAACTAGCCACAATATACCTAGCATGCAGCGTTAATTTTCCAGAAATTCATATCTAAAACTATCGGCAGCTTTTGCAACACTACATTGCCTAATTATCCAAAAAGTACTACATCTATATCTCTTATCTATATATATATATAACTCATGTATACATGTACATATATAAACATAACAGTAGCTATCACCGCAAGAAGCTTTTCAGCTTTCAGCTTTAAAAGTTTAATCCCCCAAAGCTTTCAATAACTTCCAAAGCCGCTTCTAATGCAGTTTTTAGGTTTTTTAGTAATTTTAATAGCAAGACCTTAAGGATACTTAAAAAGCAGTACAGCTGTTCTTTTAAAAAGCGTTAAGACAGCTTTAGAGCAGTTATGTTATTTAAAGCAAACAATTTATCAAGCAACTTTTCTAACAGTCTTGCTAAGAGCTTTTAAATTAGATTATTTTAAGGTTTTTACAAAAAAGCTCCAGGATATCGCGTATATATGTCTTTCGGGCTACCACTCAACACAAGCTTTCCATAATTTCATGCTCTGATTAATCAAAGTTTTTAATAAAAGCTTTAAGCTCATGTGTATTTTGCTTGTAATC